AATAATATTAGGAACAACCTTATGCTTAGATGAAATAGACCAATTTCTTAAGAGACACAGTCTACCAAAGCTGACATAAGGAAAGATAGGTAATTTGAACTGAAATATATATATGAAGCAATAATAACCATCCCAAACAGAAATCACCAGACCCAAATAAGTTCACTACTGAATTTTATCAAATAGTTAATGAACAAATGATTGAATCTTATATACTCTTCCAAAAACACAAGTAGAGGGAATGTTTTCCAGCTCACTCACTGAGACCAGCATTATGCTAATACTAAAACCAGACAAGGACACTGCAGGATATGAAAGCTGTAGACAAGTATCTCTCATGAATATAAATGTGAAGCTTCTCAGGAAAATGGTAGCAACTGAGTCCAAAATATACAGAAAGAATTATTTGCTAAAAGGAATTATACATCATGACCAAATGGGACTTATTCTAGGTATGTAAGGGTGGTTCATCCCTGGAAAATTAAATAAATGTAATCCATCACATCAGTAAGCTAAAGAAGAAGAGTCATGAATATTTCTACAGATGTGGAAAAAGCACTTGGCAAAATTTAAGAGCCATTCATGATCAACTAAAAACAGAAGAGACGTCCCCCACACTGATAAAGACCATGTAAAGAAGCCACCACTCATCTCACATCTACATATGGAGAAACTGGATGCTTGTCTCCTTAAGACCAGGAATAAGAAAAGGACACCCTCCCCAAAGCCCCTCTCCCATTTAATACCATCCTGGAAAGCCAAGGCAATGTGATCCGAAAGGAAAAAAAATATGGATTGTGAAGGAAGAAATATAACTGTCTTTGTTCATAAGTGACATTTGTCCACATAAAAACTATTAAAGAAATACCTAGCCCACCTGCCACCCCACAAAAAACCAGAAAAACAAATGCTTTTGAAATTAATACATGATCATAACAGGATTTAACATAACAGAGTAAAGTCTACAACTTGCTCATATGCTTCCATTTTTATCAGCACAGTGCAGGGAGGAGGGGGGAAAGAGATGCAAGTCTAAAATATTTACAAGAATGGATAAGAGGAGAAGTATAAAATTTGGATGAAAGAAATCAAAGATCTAAATAAATGGGGAACTATTCCATGCCCATGGTAACAAGATTCAGCATTGTTGAGATAACAAGTTTGTTTCAAGTTGAACTAGAAATTCAACTTAATTCCAGTTGAAATTCCAGAAACTCACTTTGCCAATATTGACAAACTGATTCTAAAGTTCAGCTAGAGAGACCAAAGGCTTCAAATAGCCAACATAATTTTGGAGAAGAACAAAATCACAGGACTGACGTTCTCTGACATTGAGACTTATTGTTTAGCTATAGTGATTAAGACAATGTGATGCTGGGGAGAGAATGAATAGATCAGTGGGACAGAATACAGAGCCCAGAAATAGATGCACATCAGTATAGCCAACTGATGTTTGATGAAGGAACAAATACAATACAATAAAGACAATAGTCTTTTCCATAAGTGACACCAGAACTAGGTAGTAGCATGTAGAAAAACTCTATGGCCTTACCTTACATCTTGCACAAAGATTAATTCAGTGCCTAACAGATGTAGATGTAAAACACAGGGCTATGAACCATGTAGACAGTAACACAAGTGAAAGTCTAGATCACCTTGGGTATGGCAATGAATTTTTGATGCATCAAAGATATGAATCAGAATCAGAAAAGATAAGGCAGATTTCATTAAAAGCAAAAACTCCTGTTTAAAAATAAATTAAAAAAAAAAACACTGTTAAAAGAAGTAAAACACATGTGCTGGATGAAAGTATTTGCAAATCATGTGTATCAAAGGGCTTATATCTGAAATATGCAAGAATTCTTAAAACTGAAGAGCAAGAAAATAAACTGATTGGAAAGCAACAACAGGTCTGATCAAGCACCTCACCAAAGATGACATACTGATGATGTCATCTTTGGTGAGGTGCTTGATCGTGTACGTGACGTGCCACTGAGGAACAGCAAATTAGAACAAGGTTCCACTGCAAACTGGTGAGAATGGCTCAGTCCAAAACACCAACATCATCAAATGCTGCCTAGGATGTGAAGTAACCGGAGTGTCGCTGGTGAGAAAGCAAGATGTTAGGCAGCTTGGCAGTTTCTCCCAGAGCTAAACAATTTCACCATACAATTCAGAATCACACTTCTGAGCATTCACCAAAGCTAAACATAATTTCACCATACAATTCAGAATCACACTTCTGAGTGTTCACCAAAGCTAAACATAATTTCACCATACAATTCAGAATCACACTTCTGAGTGTTCACCAAAGCTAAACATAATTTCACCATACAATTCAGAATCACACTTCTGAGTATTCACCAAAACAAGTGGAAAACTTACATGTGCCACAAACTCGTACTCAAGGAGTGTAGCACCTTTATTCATAATTTCCCCAAAGTGAAAGTAACCAAGGTTACCTCCCACAGGGGAGAGGGAGGTTAGTCTAGCTAGCTAAAGAGTAGACCTGAACTTTTTAATCCAATAAATCAGTTAAAATTCTTTCTCATTGGTCAGATAATTGTAAAGAGATCCTTACGTATCTGTAGGTGATGTGAATTTTGTTTTATTAAGATTGACAGTGCATGGCTAACAGACTCATAGATGAAAATGAATGCAAGGCACAGTCTTTAACTTTTTGGATTCAACTTTCACATTCAAAATTTGAGATGCAAGTAATATATCCTAATGTAGTATATATGTGTATCTGCAAAGGGGAATATAGCTTTCAGTGCTGAATTGTAAGCATATTAAAATAATTTTGGAACTTAAGAGTCATGGGTATGTTTACCTTTCATATAATATAGCAATACTATCTATTATGAACTTAGAAGATACGTTTTCTTCAAACAGCTTTAAAAATGTACAAGAAAAAAACAAACGGGTCTTTACATGTTTGCCTTAAAAAAGGCCTTGCCAGTTATCTTTATGTGCTCACTACATCAAAATCATCCAACGAGGGAACGGGACACCATGAAGGGAGAGGAGGGTTGCAGAAGTATTAATGACACAGAATAGCAGAAACCTAGTTGCATACCAGATCAGATAATAGCTACAGTGTATCTCTGATGATTACAGAATACCAACTTTAACCCAGTAGAGTATTTAAATTAAAAGGAAAACACACCTGAAATGATTTTAGTAAAATTAGACATTTATTACTCTCAATACTATTTTTTAATCTCGAAAGTCATTAGGTTATATTTATTAAATTATTCTAGCTAATTATTTAATTTAATGAGTTTATGCATCTTACCATCAGAGCTTCCTTTTCATTAAGAAGACAAACCTACAGGTTTATATAGGACTAGGAAGAAAGGCAAGTCAGTGCCTCAAAACTTTAGGCTGAATCCATAGCTTTCTTACTAATATTAAAAAACAAACAAACAAAACAAAACAACACAGTAGGAATTCTTAGAAATTTTAAAATGTTTCTTTTTTATGATATAGAAACTCAATGATTTTTTTACTCTTAACTATGGAAACTTATACAGGCCAATTAATAAACATTCATTTTAGTGAGAAACAGCAAATTTATAAGGAACCTGAAAAAATAGTATTTTTCTTTCCAAGTAAATTATATTCTATAGCCATTAAATAGTGAAATTGAAATCAGTGCAGACATCAGCTCAGTGCATACATCACCAAGAACTTTTAATGAAAACCAAGATTATTATTCACCTTTAAAGTGAAATCATTACACATATTGAAAATTATAACTTTATATTGTTTCCCATGTGACGTATTTTTGTGCTCAGAAAATAGAAAAAAATTGAGGGTTCCTATGATTTAGTATAAACAGCAAGAATTAACATGCTAGAAGTCTGTCACAGAGGCAAGCTTGTCCATGTAAGACCATTTGAACCTCACTTGTAACAATTAAAGTGCAGTCTAGCTCTCAGAATAGGCGAGGGGAAGAAATTCTGACTCTGGGGGAATAACTGGCCTTACAATCCATGAAATGAAAGACTTCGTTTTGTAGAATTAAGGCAAGGAGGTAAGAGGCATGAGAGGAAATACAGACACGTAAAAGATTAATTCAGGAAATTAAGCAGATAATATTTCTTGGGCTTGAGAGATGGCTCAGCATTTAAGCTTACAGACTGCTCTTGCAGAGGATCCAGAATTGGTTCCCAGCATCCACATGGTGGCTAACAACCATCCATAACTTCAATTCTAGGTGATCTGAACCTACTCCCCGATTCTGATCTTTGTGAGCATTGCATAACATGGGTGCACATACATACAGGCAGGCACTATTCTTATATACATAAAAATAAAAATAACAACTAAAATATTTTTAAAGATACTATTTACTTCTGGATAGAACAAACAAGTGAAGGGAAAGAAATAGCAAATACGTAATGTGGGAAAATATCCAGAGATGGAGAAGCTCTTATTTTCAAGAGTCATCAATAGGTAAAGTATGAAAAATGCCAACACCCAGATATGCTGTCAAGAAATTCACAGCACAGCCTGAAAGAGAGAAGGGGTGCTGGGGATTTCTGGTTTCTACAGGTAATACCTCAGTGATATTGATTATTTCAGTTTTCAGAAAATGCACTGCCTTGATGGAAAACATTATTACTGATAAATATTAAATTCTAAGTGTTATAATTTCTTTTGATATGCAATATGTGGTGTTGAGAAATTATTACTATATAGTTAGTTATTTCTAAGTATTTACCTAAAAACTATATGTACTATATCATGAAAACTGAGCAATTGTCAAATAAATAAAATCTCATGTTTTTAAAGTTTACATACCTTATGTTAATATTTCAAACAAATAAACAATAAATAAAGGTAATGCCATGATCATGCTATTCAATGTTGTTACGTATTTATGAAAATTCACTGAAATGGTGCAACCCACTGCATGAATTTATGGCCCTGGAAAAAATGCATTTAAGTATGAGAAATATAGCCTGCAGGACTCATAAAAAGCACACGCTTACCTGATGTGGGATCAGTAACTGCTTGACTTGTGATGCCGGATGGTGGTTCTTGGAGCTGGTAAGTGGCGTTGGTGGAAGGTGTAGCTGGGCTGGTGTTAGTGCTTGTCATATAATGTGCTGGATATGGTGAGCTGTTGTAATACTGTGCATACTGACCCTGGCCAAAGCTGGGGTAAGATGGATAGTCCTACCAAATTAAACCACAAAAAAGTAATCTGTCAGAATACTGCTGCCAGTGCTTACATTCAAATACAGCCATACATGTTTATGTTTAGATGTCTTTTATGAACTCATATAAACAAGCACACATTCTCTAAAGAGCCCTGACTTGCGAACAAATTTTATGCAAGGTTGTATACAGTCATTACATTTTCTATTCTATGACACAGCACTGGTAAACTGAAATAAATCTGGAAACCACACAACTCACCATAAATGACTGCTGAAGAGATTGTATAAAGAAAAAAGCAATTAAAATGCTTAAGAAAGCTCTCACTTTCAGTTTAGTATAAACAATTCTTTCTTTATATAATAAAATCATTTTTGTATTTAAAAATATTTCAGGAGTTAAACTGGCTTTTTAAATTACCTGCTGTGAACTGTTAAATCCAGAGGAATTTGTGAGTGAATTATTTCCTGTATATAATCCTGATGATGTTGTAAAACTGCTGCCTAAAACAAAGTGAAAAGAAATAGAGCTTGCTCAGTGGTGCAGGGCGAAGTGGCTGTAGGAACAAATCAGTTCAGTAAGGCGGATGGAGTTTGGTTCATCTTTAACACTGGTGTGGCTGCCACAAACACGATTTCATTTCTTAAAACAGTTGACCATTTTAATTTTATGATATTCTGAAGCTTAAAGAGTAAGGACATTTAAATTTCTGAGTGTAAGACTAATTTATATAACAAAGGTCAAAATTTTCATTTATATGAAAATACGGTTTTCTATTTCAGTCTGTAAACCACAGCAAAGTTTTCAAAAACTGCAAAAAAAAAAAAAAAAAAACCATAATGGGGGTCTTTCCTCCCTTGAAGCCCCTCCAACTCGCTGGAGTTTTTTCTCATTTTTCTTTAAATAAATTTTAATATATCTATGTTCATTCTGATCAAAATAAAATAAAAGGATCATATTAAGTGATCTTTGAGGTTCTTGCTAGTTCAGAAACTGTGTTGCTATTTCCAAGGACTTAAAATGTTTTTGGATGTCATTATTTATATAGCCATTATAATGGGCCATTGAGCAAGCTCTCATTTTATTTCATGGAAGAATAAATGGCAACATCTGAAAAATTTAATACAAAGAGTGCTGAGGAGAAAATTTATGTACTACCGTTTTGTCAATGACAGCATTCTATTGTTGGATGCCCCAGTTGTTCAACAATGAAGGGCAGCACCATGCACACACACCCTACCAGTGAACACAAGTTCCCTCCCTCACATCATGCATTGTGCTACTCTTGAGCACACGACTTTTGACGGTCTAACTGAACAAGGTTTCTGAAAAGATAAGATCAGAAATGAACAGTTGTGTTAAAATGGGGGTGTCATACAGTGTAAAATGAGAATTTAAACGGGCACATACTTCCTTGGGCTATTTAATGGCTAAGAACTTTTATGTACCATTAAACATGGAATTTTACTGCCAAGATTTTACTCCAGGGAGCTGCTTAGCGAGGGTGTTCCTCAACGTTGCCTCTGACATCAAAACATGGAACATCCCCATACCCTTCACATGTGTCACTCTCAAAATGGAATGCAGAATAGTTGACGATGTAGAAGTCACCTGCCTACTCTAAGACATAATTTCCTTATCTTCAATATCTTATTTCAGAGAACTCTTAAACACCAAATAAAGTAGTATTTCAGAAAGCATGTACCCCCTACACACCAAGGCAAGCATAATTATTGTTTATTGTAGCAAAGACTTTAAAAAGTCCTCATTGTATTTATATATCTTTTCCTGCTTTTCATTTTCCCAGATTAGACAGATATTACTTAATCCCTTTGCATATCTAAAATTCTTTGCTTATTTATTTATTAAGGATCTATGAACTTTAAAATCTAGATCCAAGAATTTCTTATTTTTTTAAGGGGGGAGGAACATATTTCCCAAGACAGTTTCAAATGTTCTTATCACACAGACTCATATTTGAGGTTTCTTCCTTTATACATTTCAGAAATACCCAATCTTCAAAGTTCCCAGAATACCTCTCTTGGCCAAAGAACACTCTTATAGTATTAATAGGCCAAACAACAGGGCTTCAAGCAACAGGCTTCCATGTTAGCATTCATTTACATATGACAATCACATACTCATTAAGTATTCATTAACTATCATGTTCACACTGATGATTACCCTGGAATGACATGATGACTAAGACATAGACTGGGATCTCACAGGATTTGATGATAATCACTCTTGATTTCTAAACACTGAATTTCACAGGCATGACTCATTGTGTATTTATACATCAGAGAATAAGTAATTAATAATGACATTTCAATATTTAAAAATTCATAAATAAAGAGCATTTAAAAATTCCTTCTGAAATAAAATCTAAACTTCTTCTGGTTAAGGGCATACTTTTCTTAACTTTAGCTATTATATACATTTGATAGGAAAAATTACTTTGGGTTATGACCTGTAACTTTCATTTAAACTATACATTTTTAGGTTATGACTTGCTACTTTCATGTAAATGACACATTTTTGGGCAATAAATACTGACCTCCATAATCCCTATCCACCAAGAAAATGAAAAAGATATAGAAAATGTATTTTTTAAATGGATGTTTTCATTCTATAAGTTATTCCCTGGAACAAAGTAGAAAAGACCATGGAAGCTGTATTGGCACATATAAGCCACGAGAGTACGACCAAGTAAATCACAGTTCACTGCTCCAAATGGTACCCAAGTGGCTTTCCAGACGTACTGCTACTTCTAAGACTACATAAGCTGGAAGCCAACATAAGTTATACTCATTTGCTGGCTGACTGCAGGCTCAGATTCCATTCCACTCAGTGTGCTGAAGCTGGAGTTTAATGGCACCCCAGTGGCCTCAGAGACTTAATGCAACTTCCAAAAGGATCCCGCTTGCTTCAGGGAGATATGTACCTCCTAGAGAATCAGGCTCAGGCAATACTCATTCCTGTTTTCAGAGCTTCTCAGGCAAACAGAGCTGTTTACTAGTCCGGGCTGAGAGCTTATGATGCCAGTCATTGTCTTCCTTCATTAGTTCCCTTCCTACCTTCAGCCCCCTCCAGCTCACTCTGTGAAGCGGCGGACTCTTTCTTTAATGGGTATGACAGATTTTGTCACTTCCCTACTTGAAAAGTAAATGCTGGTGGCTCCCTATTGCCTTCAGAATAAAAGTCAAAGTCCTTATGGGGTTTGTTTTTGAGGCCTTAGCTGGTCTGGTCCCTATTTGTCTTTTGGACTTGTTTGGTCTTTTCCTAGCAGTCCCAGCCCCACACTCCATATCCCTTTTCTAGCCATAAACTAGTGAATCAGCAGCATGTAGTTCTCTGAATACTGTTCCTCACAGCTCCTATTTTCTGCTGTCAATTACTGGCTAACCGCTATTGATCTTCCTCATTCAACATGGCCTAGAAACTCCCTTCCTCAGAAAGACCCCTTAGTGCCCCTCCTTTCCTCTGTCCCCATAAGCCTTTTCTTTACCCACCCATCCATCTACCTGCCTACCTATTAACCAACCTGTCCTTGTAATAGGTATGTGAGTATATGTGTACATTCACATCCGTGACCTACTAATCATTATTTTAAGCTACTGCTAATTAATCAGCAAAGTAACAAGAACTAATTGTACTTAAATTAGTCCTGCCCTATGAGAGTATATATGTGTGTATGCATACATGAGCTTATATGAACGATTCAATATTTCTACCCCATACATAAAACAGCCAGAGATTAGCAGATATGACAATATTTTTTAAAACAGTTAATACACATTGAGTAGGTATATGTTAGGAGTGTCTTCATCTTCCCCAAGCTTTATATGGTAGAATTTGATACTTTTCTTACATATGTTTATTGTATGGGTGCTTGTTCACATAAATGTGCACATGCCATAGCACATGTGTAGAGATCAGAAGACAACTTGTGGGAGTCTATTCTCTCCTTCTCCCAGGACCCAGGGACTGAACTGAAGTTGTCAGACTTGGTGGTGAGTACATCTACTGCTCAGCCATCTCACTGACCCATGACTTCATATTAGAGAGAGTGTTGATATTTCCATTTTCAGATTTTAAAAAATGTGTTAGGATAAGGCAGTATAGCTTCCATTGTGTGAAATGAACATTTACACAACATTGAACATTGTCTTCTCAATGTTCTCTTTCCTCATTTTTATATGTTCTGATGGACATTCACTAGCATTTTCCCAGGGGTCATTCTACAGAAGTGACAAAAGCAATTGATGTAACTTCAGACTTTCAGAGAACCTATCCTGACCCATACTCACCATCAAGCATTTTACCTCATCCTACTTATTGACTCTCATCACCCCATGTGGTGGATGCAGTCATAGTTCAATTCCCATGTGAAGAAAACAACCAGGATTATGAGAAGAGTGGCCGAGCTGACACGATCTAATGAGGCCATCCAACTTCAAACCTGAAGTCTCTCATCTCCATACACATTGCTTCTCAAAATAACAAGACTGCTTTCTTATATTTTTAACCCCTGTAATCAAAATACAGCTGATGAAAACCCCCAAGTCATTGGGAATCTGTGTTGAAAGGTACCTATCTGAGTCTCTCCCAGATCTAGGACTCTCAGCTACTGAGGTAAAGAGTTGACATATGAACCCATATTAACCCAACCAAGTCTTACTACTGTGTTTCAGCATAAAATCCAGTTGATGTTCTAGGGACTTGTGCAAAAACAAGTAATCAGGATAAGCTTTCTTTTTATACAAAGTAGTTATACCCTTCAAGCATTCAGAGAACATTCTCACAGCCCATTTGTATGGGGGCATTTGGGGTTTTTGAGCTGAGCTACAGATCATAGGGCATGAAAGGTCCCATAGAGATAGCTAGTCTGTGCAGACTTCAGTATCAAGACTACTAGACAGGCTTCAGAGAACTTCTGAACACAAATAGCAAAAACAAAACAGGAGCAACGATGGCCCTGAGAAAGTTTTAGCTTGTCAGCTGCAAACCTGCCTCCTACTCCACAAAGTCAGCAAGTAAGAAACATTTGTGTAGAAGGTTCTTGTATCCCAACCTGGATGCCATGGGGGAGACAGAGCATGATACAACCAGGAACTGCAAATCATCTTCATTAGGATCAATCATCTGAGAATCTCCTCAATTCATATAAGTCATTTATAACTTTAGGTCATAGAAATAAGCTTTAATGCTTAGAATTCCTGTGCCAAAGTGACATAGAAATATTTTTTTCTTTCTAGACATATGTGACTTTACATGAAAATTCACCTCCAAATATGTAAAATGTAGAAGAAATTTTGTATGATTTTATTTTATATGAAATCATGAAAATCGCCCAAGGTGGGAAGAATTCTCTCTTAGAACCCATCTCAGTCAAGGAAATCGGCAGAGGTTGGTTCAAATGATGCTCTAATATCTCTTGGGAGATCTGGGATTAAGTTGCACTCTAAGAGGGTGGCATGGAGCCACCTTTCTACCTACTAGT